CAAGATTAGTGTGCAGCTCAATGGGTGTGGATTTACTAGTTCTGAGGGCGATGAGTGGGGAGACCATATCAAGATGAGTTATGTTCACCTTAATTTAAGCAAACTCACTAGGATATAGTGATTGGATCAAAATCTCAAAACTGAAGAAATTCTTGTTTCCACTAGATTTCAAGTAACTCACATCTTCATTCAGCAGTGGTTATACAACCAGAGCTGACCCCATGAGACACATTTATACCCCCAGTGGAACTGGAGTCATTCTTCTCTGAGCTAAGAGATCACAGTCTGCATGAGCTATCTGAGAGCAATATATTAAGTCTGATCCCTTCTTTATATAGAAAGCTATCTGTCTTCCTCTTTGCTATGTTAAGCAAGGTATATAGCAAAAATTTTCCACCGAGTGAAATGTGTGATTTCCATATTATAACGGAACATCCAATCTTCTGGCCGAGAACATGGAACACATGATGGTGTAGTACAAAATGTAAAGAATCTGAAGTTCTGGTTTAGCTTTCTACTTACTTGCAAAAGAATCTTGGTAGGTTATTTTAGTCTCTGAGTTTCACTTTCCTTATTTATAACATGGTGATGACTTATACTGCAGTGTCATTTTAAGGATATGAGATATTACATGAAAACCATCTTATAAATTCCCCAAATGATCATTGGATTACAGTTATAACATATTCATGTTATATTCATGTCATATAAACCACTATTAATTGCTGTTAAAATCTTATAATTTGGTAAAACTGTAAATAATATCATCACCAATATTAACATTATTAAGTTAAGCAATCAGGTTAGAAAGCAAAGTCATTATAGCTTTATGTTCTTCTATAATGTTCTTCATTAGTATCATTCTGTACATTCAGGTCTATTATATTTTTAAAATACTTTTATTTTATTTTCAATTATTTTTGTGATACTGGGGATCAAACTCAGGAACTTGCACTTGCCAGGCAGGTATATATCATTGAGCTATATCCCTGGCCCTAATATACTTTCTTTTCCCTCATACTCTCTATAACTATTCCATCTCTTTATCCTTCAGGGCCTTATGGTCAAACTTCATGAAAATCTGTAACTGAGATCTAAAACTCAAGATTGTCAATCAAATAAATCTCTTTGTCAATAAATCAGCTTGAGTCTGTTTCTTAGTTGAATGTAAGTGCCTTAAATGTAGGCAAGCATTCCTTACTTAGGCACAAGCTCATCACTCCTTATTACCTCACTCTTGACATTACTTACACTAATGTTCATTGACTGGTCACTACAGCCATTTGAGTTTGCAACCTCTAGCACTAAAGAGAACCGTATCGATTAACTTAATCACACACTTAAAAATTTCCAAGTAATGAAAGAAGAGATCGGCCAATTGAAATATGATTTACTAATTCTCCAACAAGCTATAATTTCTAAATATGATTTCAGACATGGTAATACACACATATATAGAGAACTACTAGCTTGGTTTTGCTCACTTATTTTAACTATGCCATTGAAGATTCTTTGAAGGAAAGAGCCCAGTGATTTGTGTGAAAATCAAGAGAATAAGCTTCATCCCTTTATCCTTCATCTGAGCGCATTACCAACACCAGGCTCTGCTAGTGAATCATCGATGGATTTAAGTGATTGTAACTAGAATAAACAAAAATAACACAAAATGAAAAGTATCAGAAAAATGCACAAAATAAAAATTATTTTATGAAATTTTAAAAATTGTAGTAAAATATGCATAATATAAAATTTACCAGTTTTGCCATTTTAAGAGTACAACTCAAAGACATTACATAAATCCACAATGAGGGACCATCACCAATATTTTATGAATCATTTGCTTTAGCTCCGTGTGTGTGTGTGTGTGTGTGTGTGTGTGTGTGTGTGTGTGTAACGGCTATAATGTAAAATGCATTTTTACAATGGCTGATTTTAATTTTTTTTTGAATTTATGTATTTGGTACAGGGTCTCACCACACAGCTCAGATTTGTAGTGATCCTCCTGTTTTCAGCCTCCCCAGAGCTGGGATTACAGGTGTGTACCACCACATGTGCCTGGGTGCAGCATGTGGTGCACAATGGCCAATTTTATTTTAAATGAACTATATTAATTCAACCTTCCCATCGGTAAAATAATGGGTAATTTGCTAACTGCATGACTTCAGTGGAGCTTGAGCATCAGTGAAATTCTCTAGAATACCAAAAATATTTTTAAATAAATGGAGATATTTCTGAAGAAAATGATAGATGAAGGAGGGAGAGGTAAAGCAAATGAAAGAGAATCAAGATATGTATATGTACCAATGACCCTCTATGAATGTAATCATTATGTACCACAAACATGTACTAATGTGGTGGATTAATTAATGGTCAATGTGTAACAACCAGCTGAACTGAATCAGTGTGGGTGTGGGTGTAGAAGGCTCACCTAAGGATTGTTGCCAACAGCATAAAAGGAGAACTAGAGGGAAAGATGGCGCACTGTTGATTCTCCTGGAGAAGCTTGTTATGCTGGCTTTCCTAATATGAACTCAGCTGTTCTCATCAGAGGAGGAGCGTGGGTTCTTTCTGTGGCTGAGAATGGCTATGGTTTTCTTTGGGGGAGCTCTGGTCCTTATGTTGAGTGTTGCTTTCTTAGCTCCAGTGTAGATCCCTCAGGCTGCTGGCACAGATCCTTCATTCGTCCGGCATACACTTTCTAGCTTCCACCATTGACATTTGGACTTGCCCAGTGCAGATGCTTGATACAGTCTGCAAAAGACATTGGGCTGTGTTCTAGGTCTTCAGCCAGGCTCATGCAGGACGTTTCTGTGGGAGTCATTCCCCTAACTGCATTCTTACGGTTACTGGTGTACGGACAGGCTCCATTCACTCTTTTGCACTTGACTCTGTGTGAATATTATAAAGTAATTCTATAAATTATTTGTCCAGTATGAAATCTTTTCCCTTGTAAACCCTGACTACAACAACTCATAATTATATGTAGAAAAAATTGATAGATTCAGATATTTAATATAATGAAAATTTTGAAATGCATGTTTGTGTGATACATATTTGTTCATATAATAAATTGTGCAAATTTTAAACTATGAAAAGGTAACACTCCAGGCACTGTGACACAATCAGAAAATGTTATCTTTTGAAATTGAATTTAAGAATAAACTTAATATGGTTTAGATTTCCATTGACTGGCAGTTTATTACTGATGAATATAAAGTGGTTCACAAATTGGATTAAGCAAATTGTTTTCCACATCTAATCAAAGTGACTAAAATATATCCAGAGGAAAACATAATTATGTTACAAATGGTGTATGAAAACTTATAATTTACTCAGTTTTATTTCACAGTGTCTACGGTTTTAATGTTGTCAAGACAAAGAAACAAAATTAGCTATCACTGTGGAATCCAGACAAGGGGAGAAATAAGAATTCCAGGTCTACATAGTTCACTAGAGTAAGTGTTACAAATAAATCACTAAAAATTTAAAAAAACTTAGGAGAGGCTGGTGGATAAACTAGCAAAGTTGAGACGATGGCAGTTTAGTAAAGATTTATTGATCACTAGTCACTACCATATGAAGATACATAGTCTTAAATAGTTATAGGGGCTGGGGAGATGGCACAGTAGAATAAACACTTGTCTGGCAAGGGCCTGACTTCAATCCCCAGTTCCACCAAAATAATAATAATAATAATAATAATAATAATAATAATAATATAAAATAGTTGAATGTGGTGGTCTCCAAGCCACTTGTCAGGAGGATGACAAGTTTAAGCTCAGCCCAGGCAATTTAGTAATGTAGTGAGAGCCTGTCTCAAAATTTTACAGAAGGAAGGAAATGTAGCTCAGTGCGAAGACCCTCTAATATCTCTAATATTTGAAAAAAAACCCCTAAAATAAAGTTCTTGCCTTTCTGAGTTCAATCCCCAGTACCATATGCTGTGCCAGCCCTGGAACCCCAGGAGCACCATGCCAGGCATGGTAGCACACACCTGTAATCCTAGTGTTGGGGAGGTTGAGGCAAGAGGATCACTATGAGTCTGAAGTGTGTAACAAGACTCTGTATAAACAACAATAACAATAACAAAACTACAAAAACGAAGATTTGTCTTCATTTATAGACAACAGTTAGTGAACCAAGAAAGGTAGCCTGACCAAGTCTGGGGTGTGTGTGCACTATCAGAAAGGCTTCTTATAAGCAATTTAAGTGCCTAAGATTGTCATGATAGGGGTGGAAGGCAACTGGCTAAGAAGGAAGAGGAAGCTAGCCCAGACAAGGAGAAAGAAAGAGTACAGTATACTCCAGGACCTCACTACTTCTGTAATTGTGAAGGAGAAAAAATGAAGAATCAGTATGTTTTTTGTTTTTTTTGGTGGTTCCAGGGATTGAACTCAAGGGCCTGTGCTTGCCAGGCAAGCATTTATTCTACTAAGCTATCTCCCCAGCCCAGTGGATGGTTTGTTGATGATGCTTACAAATAGAATCCAGGTGGGAGATGTAGCTTTCAGGTATGGAGTGCCTGCTGAATAGGCAAGGCCCCAGCTTCCATCTGCACTACTATTAAACTATGAAACAAACAAAAATTTGTTTTCTACAGAAAGTGGTTAATTGCTTTGGTTCTAGAGTAAAATAACAAACTTTTGGGAACTTTTCTTCAAAAAATATTCTTAGAACTCTAGAACTCTTCTAAAACTCTGTGTTATCTGTCAATTCAGAAATCTTGGTGGAGGCGGGCACAGGGTTCAGAAGCAGGGCTTGTATTCGTGACTGGTGCCCAGGTGTCAGGCTAGCTTCCTTGCCCAGCCTCCTGGGGCACTGTCTTCTCCAGCACTCACTCTGGGCTTTTCTTCATCACTCCCTGCCACACCGCTGTGGTAGAGCCTGCTGTGGGAAAACTCAGCCAGGCTCAGGGCCCAAGGTGGCAGAGGTCTCATGTAAGGCCCTGGTCCAGTTCTGGGCTCAGCATGCCTGCCATAGTCTGAGTGTCCAGCCACCACGCCTGTCTGAGGCAGAGAAGCAAGGATGCCTGCTCGCAGCAGCTCTGACCATGCTCCTCCAGGGTTTGTCTTGGCCTCCAGCCCTGGCTGAGGAGCACTGGGATCCCCAGCAGCCCAGGGGGCAAGAGGCCCCAAAATAAAATTTTAAAAAATGGAAGCTGCTGTTATTTGGGAGTCCCTTATCATGTGAGGGAGCCCCTTATAGGATACATAAATTGCTATAAATTCTCTGAAAATTTAAAATTCTTCAAAATAGTATTTTTTAGAAATGCATACTAAAGTACAGTACTAACAAATGCTATATTGTATACTATGTCTAGGATTCTCTTCAATATAACCTATAGAACAGGTAGAAATAGATAAGAAATAATGAGAGGCTGGGGAGATGGCTCAGTGGAATAAGTGCTTCCCTGATAAGCACAAGGGCCCGAGTTCAATCCCTGGTTCCACCAAAAAAATAGAAAGGAAAAAAATAATGAACAAGCCAGTGTTGTTTGTCTGGATACCACTATTAGCAAACAGGGACTATCCCGTCTGGGTAGGCATGTCCATTTCTTGAACCAAGGAAAGTGTTCTACTTCTTAGCAGGGTCTTCAGAGGGACAACCACACTCCTCAGATATGGTTGTGTTTCTCAACAAGGTGGTGAATGGAAAGAGACCTGGCACCACTTCTTGTTCCTGACTTTCTAGAGGCCTGAAGGAGGCCTTAGGTAAAGTTCCAGTTTGATAGAGGAAAGGGTATGCAAAGGGATAAGTGACCTGGAACAAGGAAATAGGAGGGAGAGCCAGCTGTCCCCACGTCCTTTAGTACTATGGAAACCAGGATGGAGCTCCAGATACTGAACATGCTTCCTGTTCGAGAAATTCTTATTTTTTTTAAGTTGAACTTCAGCAAAGATTAGATTAAAAAGTGTCCACTTTGCAAGGTCTCCAGGTGCTCAATACTTTCTCAGTGTAATAAAATCACAACCTGTTTAGAAATCTGGTTCTCTGCCCAAAATAATCCAATTCTTTTTTTTTTTTTTTTACATTTAAAAATAATCCAATTCCAAATTGAGGAATCTTTCCAAAATCTTGTGGTGCATCAACTTACTTTTTTTCCTTATGAGAACCACTGTCAGGCATGTGATCAAGGTGAAAAATGTAATCTTTTCTCTGGCCTAGGTGATCATTAAAATATTTATTTATTTATTTATTTATTTGTATTTAGTACAGGGTCTACAGGGTCTCAATACACAGACTGAACTCCAAGTGATTCTCCTGTTTTCAGGCTTTCAAGTGTGTACCACCACATCCAGTCTCAATCAATGTCTCAAGTGTGCCCTGGGGGCAGGGGTGGCACAGCAGGCTGGGGGATTGAACCCCTGGCCCCTGGGTCTGCCTAAGCAGGTGCTTTAATCTGCTGAGCTACCTGGCCAGCCCCAATTTTTAAAAAATGTTTTATTTATGTATTTATTTGGTACAGGATCTTGCTACGTAGCTCACACTTGTAGTGACCCTCTTGTCTCAGCCTCCCCCATGCTGGGATTACAGGCATGTGCCACTACAGCGTTTCAGTGGCCTGCATGGCATGTGGTACCCAGTACTGGGGATCGAACCAGGGTCTTTGTGCTTATCAGGCAGTCACTTACACCACCAACCTATCTCCCCAGCCTCGATGATCATTTTATACCTAAGTATTATATACATAGGTACTAAGTAAGTCAAGCATCCAATTATATGTTTTCAAGAAATAAGACACACACACACAAAAGACAAGAAATAATGCAAATTAAGCTACACCACCATCTATTCTATGCCAGAATGGTATTACCTTCAAGGAAAGCACAAGTTAAACTTCAGAAGTCTTAACTGAGAAATGGACGTCTTTTCAGCATAGGGGTTAGCTTCAGCTACTATAAGGCACACTATAGGTAAAGGTTTCTTAGAATTCTTGTCTATTGCTACATTGCTCTGAAAGTGACTGGTCTTGTCAGAAACTCTCAGATATGATCCACCCTCACCCTTAAAAGATTCCATGTCAGGCAAAGTCTAAGTATTTCTTGTGGACTCCCAGGCACGAGGTTCTTTTGACCCTCCTTCCCCCTTTCCTGTGTCATCATCAATCATACACAACTTCAGAAGATTTCAAAACACCAGCTTCTTTCCTTTTTTCTTTCTTTCTTTCTGGACAGGGTCTTGCCATGTAGCTCAGGCTGGCCTTGAACTCACAATAATCCTCCTGCTTTAGCTTCCCAAGGGCTGGGATTATAGGTGTACACCACCATGCTTGTCTCATTATTTCTACCCCGTTTAGATTATATTGGAGAAAATCCTAGACATAGTATATAATATGGCATTTGGTAGTACTGTATTTCAAAAAAAATAACTATGTTGAGGAATTTTAAATTTTCAGAGAATTTATAACAACTTATGTATCATGTAACTGGATGTACCAATTAAATTTTATCCCTACACACACACACACACAATTTATGCATGCATATTTCACTAAACTATTTGA